GATATGAACTATGATAACTATGATTTTTGGTTGATGATGTGACCGGTGAAATGTCCCGGTATATATACACTCTATTTCATTATATCGTTCTGTAATTGGTTGAGTGTGGTTGTTTTGACAAGCAATAACCCCACCTCGACCCGTTGGTTTTTACTTCATTAGTGTGGTTTTTGCCTGTTATTCTCGTGAAATTTACCTGTTGACAATATGTTCTTCTTTATGTGTTGGTTCAAGTACTTGAGTTATTCTATATTGCCACACTGTTATGTTTGGTGGTCCTGAAAAGGACCATTTTGATGTAGTAACGGTTTACTCCGTTACAAAATTTAGCCATTGTCGAGAAATCATGGGAACAAGTATCCTTACAAACAGTCAAGATTCGAAGTAAAATTAAAACCTTTAATTAATAATTAACTAACTGATGCCGTGTTGCCCGTTAAATGAACCATCTCTATTTGGATTTATTTTGACTCAAACTTTGTTCAATTCGTTATTTAATATTCGGTGTATGGTGATCAAAACTTATCTTAACTTTTCCGTTGACCTGAATAAAATTCTGATTCGCAGCTTATATTATGAGGTAGGCAATCTACCTTCGGTAGATCACGGACCACGTTCTGTTTGTACGGAAGTGTATGATTTAAATCTAAAGTATCAAAGTTATACCAAGTTGGTCGTTTTTATTTAATTCCACCTACGGTGGATTAATATAATCAATTAATACAAAATCCTATCTCAACCATACTAAAATCCGATGAATAAAAAAAAAAAAAAAAAAAAAACAAATGTTCTTTCATAAGAACCTTGTCCTGACAATTACAAACACAACAAAATAAGAATTAGCGAAATTGGTCCAGATGCGATGATCAAGGGAAACAATGATCAACTTTATATATTATAAAGATTAAAAACAATGCGTTGATTGAGATTACGAGAAAACTGTTGAAATATACAATTAATATTAGTATTCAAACCATGTAAACATACTTGCGTGTACAATGTCGTTTTCTAAAAGATACTTATGCAGTTACGATATAGCTGTGCAACACTTTTACTATCGCTTTCTATATTATATACTGATACTGGATGACCTCAATTGTTCATATAAATAGGGCCTCAGATGTATGTAATACTCACTTGCACAGGAGCTGTCGTACAGAGCCTATACGGTGTGTGTGTATAGTCACAGTTTAATTGTCCCGTTGTACGTTATTATATATTATACTTATACATAATCATATTGTCGTGTTTTTACTATTATTATATTAATACTAAACTCATTAGTCCGTCAAGCTTCACTTTCAACAAAAACCTCATAGTTTATCCTAGCTCAAGTAAATGGCATCATTATATCATCATCCCATAGGACTTAATATATTAATTGGAAAGTCTAGAGTGTCATGTGTCGGGCATTGTACATTTTTGTTTTTTTTTCAACTGACCAATACGGTTGCCATTGGTTATAGAAAAAAAAATTTATAATATGGAAAAATATGTGTAGTTATATTTAATGTTGAGAAAGTCATAGTAAATCTCATTTGGTGATATTCGGCAAGCTGGATTGACAATGTCTGTGCTAGTCTTCAGTCTTCGATCGGTGGTTTCAACACTGTGCAGCGATTCTTGAAGTGCTAGAAATGAGAAAAAAAGCCCGACCTAGATCACGTATTTGGGGATATTTTCAGAAGTCATTTTTATAGGAAAGTATTTTAAGATTATAGAGAATGGACTCAAAAACTGTGGGTTGGCCAGCTGTGTTAAGTAGAGTTTTATTGGAAACATAATAAGGTGCCATAAAAATTGTTCGAGTCCAATATTTTTAACGGCCTTTACCTTTGGCGTGAGACCTGATGTCCATAAAATATTGGTATTTTGTTTACAATTGAAATTAGGGGTTTCCTGCCTAAAAAGGAAATATAAGTGTTGCCAAACTCTGAGTCGAAGAACCCTGGGTTCCACGAATAATTCGTGTAGGTTCTATTACTGAAAACTTCTTTGCTCCTTTATTGATTAGTTATTAATATTAATTTTCAGAGGGTTTCTGCATGAAAAAAATTTTATTGATTGTTATTCCATGATCTCAAAAATTATAAGAAACACTGGGCTAGAGCATTCCTCGGACTGTAATGACTTTTTGAATAACATTTTTCATGTGAATGCTGAAGTTTATATTTTTTTGTAAGTCAGAATAAGCTATTTCGCACTTTTATTTGTTGTTTCTTTAATTTGATTTGTCTAATATTTCCTGTTATTTGTTTGTTGAAGAGTACCACTATTGTTTTTTCCACAGTGATGCCATTTATGAAATTATTAAATTGGCATATTTAGTTAATTGTGCAGTTGGATTATTGCATTGGTAGGATTTCTTAAGTTAGTGAAGAATATAGTATCGTCTAAAAAGTACTAGGTTTGCTTTCGGGAACAGTGGAATATCGTTGGTCTATATCAGGTATAGTTTTTTTCGAGAGGCAGGACTCTTGCGGAACTCCTGCGGAAATCGGACAGATACTATACTCTATTGCACCTAAGAGTGAACCGCTTTCGAGCACGCAGATTGAGTCACCAAACAGTGCCTGGCCACCCATGCGATGACTATGCTTTCTGTAATTGGGGGACAGTCATCTCCGGCCGTCGTCGGCCGTGAGCGTCAAACTCTCACCGATGTTCGGATTGTGGTGGGAATGTGTTTTGGTCAGCCGAGTGGTTTATTCTTAGATGAAGCAGAGTATATAAAAGATGTTTTTTCGCAGAACTCAAAAAGTTCTCTTATCAAGGAAAGAGTCAAAGAGTAAAAGCCTTTTCTACACCTTAAAATATCATCACAGTCTTTTCCCTTTCTTTAGGTCAGTAGTAAGTAGTAAATAGTAAGCTTGAAGACAAGTTCAACAAAAAATTTTAACCTTGTTTGTTGATGAAATTCAGAAATAAATATGTTTTATATTTTTTTTAAGTTAAAGTTGTATTTGTGAGTGATAGCTAAGAAAATAAACTTACAGTGTCGTAATTAAGATAAGCTTTGTAGTTTTTGTATAGATGTGAAAATTCTATAGAATATTTATCCTAAAGTATTCTGACATATTTGAGGTAGAATGTAGGTATACCAAAACCAGCAAAACCAATTGGAAATTGTGTTAATGTTGTTTATTTTTACAGACATAGTAGCAAGTTACACAAAATTTAGAGAAGGTATGTACAATTACTAGTTGGTGTGTATTAAAAACCGGTTCTGGTTCTTGTTCCAGATTATACAGCTCTAAAATAAAGTAATGTTGTTTATCAAAGCACTTCTGCACTTCTAATATCCAATAAATTAAGCACAGGTAACGGAGGTAAACACAAAATAATCATTATAAAACCAAATTTTTGTTTATTTCCAAATATTTGTATCGGTTTTTGTTTTGACTATTTGAAAATATATAAATTCGGTTCCGGTTAGGTTCCGTTTCCTGCTTATTTTATCGACCGGAGATAACAGAAAATCGTATAGCTTATCCAGCTCAAGTAAATAGCGTCAAAAGAACAGGTTGTCCCAGTTGACATAATATGAGTTGCGTCCCGACATGTTGTATATTTTAGCTGTAGGTGAGCTGATTCCCGAGTTATTATCATTACTTATGTACCTGTCAGGTGCGGTAGTGGCTATACTGATGATACCATATCGGCCCCCTTTGTGTAATCTTCCCGTCAATTAATTGGCCTCATTATATACCATAAATTAGATATAGAGTGATGCCTGCGTGGTCACTCGCTCATTGCGCAGTGCTCGGAACAAAAAAAAAAAACGAAAATGTCCCTCCGGATCCGACACCACCTCAGTAGTCATCGTATTGGAGCCGAGACGGCCACCTTCAAGTGGAAGGAGGTAGCCGATGCGTATACATACAGTATTATTGTGTAACCGCAATTCCTCTCATAAACCTGGTCAAAATTCATACGTTCCTCTAAAAAACCAAGGCCGAAACTCGTTAGTTATTTAGGGGTATTTTTTATCAAATTTCTCAGTTTCAATCGAAATTATTGGTAAGATTCATCAAAACCAGGAAATTCAAAAATATTTTATAATTTTATTAATATCAAAAGTTTTTAATTTTATTCCAGAAAACCCAGGTACGTAACCAGTTTTACTACTAAAATATATTTTGTTTTCTTATTGATCTTGAATACGGCCACTATGGTAACGGTTGGTAGATTGGTACGATTGGTACGGTACTTACGATTGAAACGGTAAATTAGCAATACGCCTATGTGAGCCAAGGTTTTTTCCACTTCTTCTTCTATCGTGTGGTCGACAACTTATCAGATTCCTTCACCATTCCAGTAATCGACGGTCTCCCTTCTTCATCTTGTTATATAACCCATTAAATCTCTACGATCCACAATTCTATGTGGGGCTTATGGCACTGCAATATAATATGATCTGGACCTACCCGCATCTATATAGTTGGTCTTCCTGAATACCTCATCTCACTAAATTACTATTAGTAATAGCAACGCCCACCCTTAATCGGTTTAACGTTCTCTATAGTGCATATGGGAGGTCATTTCCAGTAGGAAGACTTACTTTTTGGGGGAACTCCGTAGAAGAAAATTCTCCCTGTCATAATCTAATCCGCTCTTCCCCAGTGGTCCTCAATTGTAAAAAAATTCTTTTTGAAATCAAGTGTTTTGGTGGTGGTATTTGTCCGAAATGGGGTGGTGCCCATTAGTATCCTTATTCGTTCTTTCAGCTATTGCGCTTACTTTCCATCGAATTTGTGATTTAGCGATTCCGCTTGGACTGTATAATTGATCAATGTTCGTTGGTGGAAGACACCCAGTGATCATACGGGCAGTTTCATTGAGAACCATATCTACTCTCTTAGAGTGTGCCGATTATCCCCAGATCGAACTCACATACTCCCTTGCCGAGAAACATAGAGCTAGCCCAGACACACGGAGTACCTTCGCGTCAGCTCCCCATTTACTACCAATGAGCTTCCGTATAATGTTATTCCTGGCTTCTACCTTTGCTGGGTTTTTACGCAGTGCATTTTGTATGTAAGACTTCGATCCAAATAAACTCCCAGATATTTAGGGTTGTCACTGTGTTGTAGTATTTCGTTATTCCATTTGATATGCAAGTTTCTTTTTTCTTCTCGGTTCTTAAGATGAAATACGCATACTTGGGTTTTCAACGGGTATAGTCGGTTCATTTGGTAGTATATTGTTAGAACTTTTAGGGTATCTTCCAGTCTTTCTGCGATTTCTTCAAACTTCTTTAATTGTGCCGTTAATTCCAGGTCATCTGCGTATATAAAATGTCGTGTTACTGTTCCGATCGGTTGGTCGTTCGTGTATGTGTAGAACAGCATTGGTGCCAGTACGCTCCCTTGAAGGAGGACGTTTTTTTGTTTTAGCAATTCGCTTTTCTTGCCATTTAGTGTCACGTAAAACCATTTATTCTTCAGCAACGTTCCTATAATTTCTGTTAGACAATAATCTTTCGTCATCTCATAGATGTTTTTTTCTAAGCATTGCATGGTTCACCGTATCATAGGCGGCCTTGAGATCGACAAAGACTGCCCCAGTTATTTCAACTTTTTCAAAACCGTTCTCAATATGTTGCGTGATATTTAGTACTTGACTTGTGCAAGATTGTATATTGATGATATTGTAATGATATGTCAATCTTAATGGTTTCTATATTGTTTCCACATGTAATATGGGCCGATATAACATATAACATATAACATCTATATTATTTTTCACAAACACCACGCTTCCATACTTGTTGTGATGGTGTTCTGCTATCAGCCCAAGTCCATTGATAGTAGGTTTACGGTGGAGTTCGTCATGATGGGTTTCTTTTAGGCACAGCATGTCTATACTGTTTGTTCTGACTATTTGTAAAATGACTGCCTCTTTATCAGATGTGAGTCCCTCAATATTAAGGAACATCGTCGTCAAGGTGTTCTCTGATAAGGGCCGTTTCATCCCGGTATAGGGTTTTGGTTGTCGACCGGGTTTGGGAAGATTAGCCGTCAGTGAGGTACGTTGTTTGTCACTCCGCATCCCACTGCCGTTGAATAGGGGGACCCGATTGCTTGGTATCTCATTGAAGTGTGGTCCACCGTCGAATGATGTAAAACCGTAGGTGTTGGCATAAAATAAAATAACACACAGTTTGCTTATAAATAAGATTACCGATTTATTGTATTGAACACTAAATAATTAATGTATATAATGATAACACTATTACTGATTTAATAAATTAAATATTGAAGAACTGATATATATAATAAAAAACTATTATTATGAGAGGTTCTGATAAAAATTATATGAGGCTCTGTAATAAACTATAAAGGATGCTCTGCTTAGTAACACGTGTGTTACTCACTCTTTTGACCAGACTCCACTGACTCTAGCTGGCGGGGCTGTCCCCATGGTCTGTCCCGAGCCTTTCGGAATGTGTTCGCTCAGCGTCTCGTAGGCGTCGCGTAGGCGTCCGTGAGAACCAGACAGTTCTCATACACGCACTACTCGCCACTAGACTGAGTCAACCCATTCATACTTATCATGTTACCCGTTTACAACATACCCCCAGCGTTAAACTGGAGCAGTCCCTGCGACCTTATTTACTACTCCATAAATTTCTTACACTACGGGTACACCTAGTTACAATACCGCCACATGGTGTCTATAATGCTTAAACTTAATTTATTCTACACTTAGGGCAATACAAATTTTTTTATACAAACTTAAGGGTTAACTTGTTCATTGTTTGGAATATTGTCCGCTACCTCTGGACTATACATTTTTATGACCTGGTTCTTAAACTTAACAACGACTATACTTATGGTTAGAGTTATGAGTAATATGGATATGTACATAACTGTAAAGTGAAATTCGACTTTGAATATAAATAGAGGCTCCAATGACTTACGTTGAAGGTTATTTATTTCGATTGCTTTATGTGCTAAAGAGTTTAGATTTTTTATTGGGTTTAAGTTTGAAACATTTTGGGGTAATACAGATGGTAGAATCTCTGCTAACAGAGAGATTACACTGACCTTTGGATTTTCTGGGATTACGTCTGCTTGTACATTTCTAACATTTTTATTTAACGGTTCGAGTACAGAATTTTCCGTAAAAATTTCACATGACAATGAGGTGGTCAACCTACCCACGCCCGAGATCTCCACGGTATAGCTTTGTAGATGTTCTAAACAGGTAATCGTACACGTGTGTGGTTGTGCATAGTACAACCAAGAATTGGTTTTTGACAATCGATTCCAAATGGGTGTGTCTAATGTTACAAATTTAATTTTACAATTTCCTAATGTATTTTGCGAGTTAGACAACCGTGAAATTTCACACAAGCTAGATCCCGTTCGGCGGTGTATTGGTTGATCACCCTTACAAAGAGTGTATAATTCTAGCTTAATACATAGTTCCCATTGACTTAATTCTAATACAAAAAAAATGTTCATTATTATTACTTAAAGCAAGGTAGTCGACTTCAGGGTCAATTAAAATTACTGTATTTACAATGATCAGTCCACAAAAGGACGGATAAGATTTTTATGTACTGTCACCCTCCTTCTATCCTTTTGCAATGTTACATTTTCATTTGCTTTAAGCTCGATCACCTCATAAGGTCCCAACCATTTAGGACTAAGTTTCCCTTTTCGAGCGTTGTCTTTAAGGAGTACACGATCTCCCACGTGAATGATGATCTGATTCTGATTCTGATCGTAAGTCTCTTTTGTCTTCTGTTTGTGTTCCAACAGACGATCGCGGGCTATTTGATGTGCCACTTGGAGTTTCTGCCTCAATTCTACATGGAAATCTTCATAATTGTATCGAGGTTCTGGGGGTTTTGTGAACGAGTTTGGCATTGTCACAGTGCGACCATACAATAGTTCATAGGGTTGTTTCCCTGTGGAACGATGTTCTGAGGAATTGAATACGAACATGGCATATGGAATGAACGTATCCCAATTTGTTTGATCTTTGTCAACGAAATGTCGCAGATATTCCCCTAAAGTTCTATGGCTTCTTTCAAGAGCTCCATTAGCTTGCGGATGGTAAGGGGATGTATTGCATTTTTTTATTTTCAGCAGTTTGCATGTCTCGGCTAAGATCTTGCTTAAAAACTCTGTGCCTTGATCACTAACCAGCATGTTTGGTATTCCATGGAGACATACACAAGAGGTTACGAAATGATACGCCACAGTGTTGGCTTCATGATTTTCCATTGGACTAGCCATGGAGAATTTCGTGAGGTCACACTGCATTGTTAAGATGTAGGCATTATTGCTATGTGTTCTCGGTAAGGGCCCGACCACGTCGATAAATACCTTCTCGAAAGGTTCGGTGGCCGTGGTACTTATGACCATTGGTTGCCTGACGTTCTTGTTACACGTTTTGTTTATCTGGCACGATGGACATTTGGACACATATTCCTTCACATTATCTTCCAATCCTTCCCAGTTAAATTGTGTTTGAATGCGCTTTACGGTTTGGTTTATACCGCGGTGTCCTCCTAGTAGGCTGGAATGATGCTCTGCGATGATCTCTAGTTTTTCCGCGTGTGTTAACTCTGTTAGAGAATAAACATGGATTTTGATATCTATCTCCTTAAATACAAACCGAATCATGGTCCGGATGGCAGACCAATCAAGTTGGTCTATCCCACTGCCAATACGGGGCATCGCTAGTTTGTCAATATCGAGCTCGATGCATACCGATTTGAGGCTCTGTAAAGTCAGGAACATATCCTCCAAAGATGGTTTTTGCCAATATTTTGGTTTCGTTACCATATACAGGATGTATCGATTTTCTTGACGAATGTACAACACTTCATGGACTCTGGGGTGTTGACTTTTTAAAATCTCCACATTGCCAAATTTCCTGCGAAACATGAGGGCCGTGCCCTGGCTCATTTTCACGTCCTGGGATATGCAATGTGCGAGGCTGTAGTCTGATGGTGCGTCGAATAAATCTCCCGATTCCTCTTTTACCCTATTATTGACTATTGACTTGCCTTTTATTAGTTGCAAGTAGGTATCATAACTAACTCGGGTAACTGGGTTCAATGTTCTGTTCATCATGATTCGCCCCATACGGCTGAGTGCATCTGCATTTGTGTTTGCGGCACCGGGTTTATAGACCACTTCGTACTGATATTCTGACAATTTGATTCTCCACCGCATGAGCCTGGATCCAGGATCCTTAACATTAAATAGCCACGTAAGTGGCTGATGGTCTGTGTAAATCTTAAACTGTCTGCCCAGTAGGTATGGTCTAAAGTGCTTGACTGACCATACAATGCTTAGCAGTTCCTTTTCCGTGGTACTGTAGTTTTGCTCCGCCTTGTTTAGCGTACGTGATGCATATGCAATAGGTAGATCTTGCCCTATTTCCTGGCCTTGAGAAATGACACTCCCAATTGCATACTGACTCGCATCGGTTGTCAAAATAAATGGTTCCTCGAAGTTGGGGTACTGAAGTATTGGAGCTTGAATGAGCTTCTGGATGAGCGTCTCAAATGCTGCCTGGCATTCTGCAGTCCACTCAAAAGGTTGTCCCTTCTTTAATAATGTTGTTAACGGCTTGGCTATCTGGCTGTATTTTTCTATGAACCTTCTATAATACCCAGAGAGTCCGAGAAATTGCTTTATCTCAGTTGGGTTCCTTGGTACCGGATGATCTCGAACACAACTGATTTTCGCCGGATCTGGTTTTACACCAGTGTCCGTTATCAGATGCCCAAGGTAAACTACTTCACGTCTGAGGAATTGACATTTGCTTGGCTGGAGTTGGAGGCTGAATTTCCGAAGTCGCTGAAATACTTCTTCCAATCTGCTCTCATGTTCTGTAAGATCCGCTGCATAGATGATTATGTCGTCTAGGTACACAAACGCTTTGATGCCGTTGAGGCCTGTTAATGCAGCGTTCATCAGACGTTGGAACGTACTAGGTGCTCCGCTTAATCCAAAGGGCATTCGGATGAACTCGAAGTGGCCCTTGTCTGTGGAAAATCCGGTCTTCTCACGATCCTGCGGACGAATCGGGACTTGATGGTACCCGCTGGCGAGGTCCAACGTAGTGTAATATCTGGAGCGTCCTAGCTGATCTAAGATCTCGTCAATTCGAGGAATTGGAAACGCATCTCCGATGGTTAGCTGGTTGAGCCGACGAAAGTCTACGCAAACTCTGAATTGTGGATTTCCACTAGCATCGGGTTTCTTTGGGACTACCACTAAAGGTGCGTTCCATGGAGATTCTGAAGGCTGGATGATTCCGTCTTCTTCCAATTTTTCCATCTGCTCTACTATAACTTTTCTATGGGCGTATGGAAGTCTATACGGTCTGATATTCACTGGAGCTGCTCCCGCTTGCGTCTTGATGTCATGTTGGATTGCTGTAGTGAATGGGAGAGCATCTCCTTCGAGGTGGAATAAGTCCTGATATTTCTTGCATACTCCCCATAGACTGGCCCGCTCCTCATGGTTAAGATGATCTGTTTGGATAACCT